AGATTTATAGAAGAGAGCAATATCATCAAGAACTTTCCCATACTTCTTTTGGCTATGGAGCAATCATGAAGAACATGATTGGTTGTTTATGAGGCATGGTAGGTACAATATCAGCATTTTTGACCTAATGTTCCACTCATCAATATTTGGTGGTTCCAACCTAACAACAACTTGATTGCCATAGCTTCATTAGGTAGAATTTATGTTGAATCACCACCTGGGGGTATGGCCAACTACAACTTGTGTCGTCGTTAAATTATGACCAAAATGAATGTTTTGAATAGTCCACTTCCCTTCAAATAATGAATCCATTTCATGAAGGTGGTTAGGCAAGTACACACACGAGCTGTCTAAGACTCTAAGGGTTCGGGACATCTCTTTTTAAAAAAGGCAGTGGGGATTCAATTTTCCCTTGTTGAGTAGTGTACTACGAAAGGAAGTTGATCATGGACTCGGAATGTCATTTCTAGGGCTTCGTCATTGACTACCTATCATGCGATTACCAACTTCCTTGACCTTTCGGCACTGGGCAGTGACTTTGTGAGACCTATGTTTTTGCGTAAAACAGTTCTACCTGATCGATGAACCAACAAAACTTTCAAATTGTATCTAATTAAACCTAGTATTTGTAGGACATTCATTCATTCATTCCCCTATTTTAAATTTCCCATATATCAAAAAAAAAATCCCATCATTGGTTAATGTTCAATTTTATGGGTAACCAGAAAATAGAGAGAAAAAAATGCAAATACAAAATCTTTTTTCCCTGATTTTTCCTAAACATGACAATTGAATAAATGCAACTTCTTTAACTTCATTATATTTTCTTAACGCTTCTTTCTTTTTCGTTCCCTCAACAAAATCCAAAATCCAAACATATCATAAATGATAAATAAAGAAAAAAATTAAAATTTTAACACGGTGTAATACTGGTTTAATAGGTTTTGAATACATTAGCAAAAAGTGCATCAAAAATAAATTGGAATAACAAGGCATTAGCAATTTTAGCACATGCTCTTTTAAATAGCTCATTATATTGACCTGGTAAAAAATGTAGGTCCTAATAAGTGGACTTATTGTCTAATAGATCCGATGAGAAAAATTTGTAATTGAAAAAACGTTCACTAATTGTAAGTTTTAAAGATAATTTAATAACAATCATGACAAAAAAAAGTCCACTAATTGTTAATTTTTAGCGACATAAATAAAAATTGTCACAAAAAAATTATTTTTAATAAAAATTTTACCAAGACTTATTTTCAATAGGATTTGATAGACATTAAGTACAACCTATTAGTAGTTTACCAAAAAAAATCTTTCTTCATGATGTCACAACAACAAGATTCAGCTTCGCAACTGGGGTTCAAATATATAAATAAGAACAAAAAAAACACTAAATTTAAAATTGAGCGAAATAGAGAGAGTGGTCTATATCTATATGAATACACGTATATATACATACAAAAAAAAATCATAATACGCTTGAAAGAGCAGTACTTGGAACAAACAGAGAATAGCCATTGATGATTTGAGCGAAGAAAAACCCAATAAATTAATGAAAGGGGATTAATGTATTGGTAAAAACAACAGATTGAAAGCAAGAGAAGTTGGATTGAGTATGAATATTTGCATAGATATTATAGAGATGGAAAGCGTGTACCTATATGACAGCAGTTGGATTGGGAGCGATGGCAGCTCTGTGTTGCGTGTCTTCGATTGAAGAAGAAGCGGAAGAGGTAGGCTATGGACTGCAACAGTCAAACCTTGTTTTAAAGGGATATTTTGGAGACTACTGGGCCACCCAGGAAATAGAAAATTCAGGGCTTGGGAACACAGATCAGCCCACAATCTGGGGCCTTTTTCCAAATTAAGGCAAAAATGTAACTTATTTTCTAAAGTAACCCTAGTTTGGACGGAATTTTTAAATTAGGTTAAAACGTGGTTAGAAAATCATGCTTTTACCGTTTTGTAGCTCAACAGTGAAAAATTTGTAAAATCGTAAAAGCGTGGTTACAAAACACGCTTTTAAAGAAATTTAATTTATACAGAAGCATTGTTTCTAACCACGCTTATAATAAATTTTTTTTTTCAAAAAACGTAATTCATAACCACGCTTTTACAAAATAAATTTTTTTTTTTTCAAAAAACGTGGTTCACAAACACACTTTTACATAAAATTGTTTTGTACGCATAATGTAAAACAGGTAGGGAGGTAGTCTAAATGATAATACGTTCCTTACCATCCATAAGGGAGGATATGAGGTTTAATCCCCCACATCTCCAAACTCTTGCCTTTTTTAAATTCAATTCAATTTTTTTTCCCTCCTTCCACTTATTCTATACTTTATATATTTATTATGTAATTTTTTTTGTCAAAAAAAGTAAAACATTTGTTTGGTAAACTAATATTTATAATAAAAATTATATTTAAAATAAAATATAAAAATTTAAAAAATTAAAATATTACAAAATAAAATATTTAAAACACAATATAAAATATTTTAAATATATATTTTGTAAATATATATTTAAAATAAAATAAAAAAATTTTATTTATTTTGTAAATATTTTAATTTTAATATTTTAAACTCAAAACACATTTTCACACTTATCATAACAAACACATAATTCAAAACTCAATTAAAAAATTATTTTCAAACTCATAACCAAACACATAACTCGAAATTCCACATTACTTTCAAAACTCTGTACTCAAATCGTAACCAAACATATAACAAAAAAAATTAAAATGTTTAAAAATATATTTATAAATAAAATAAAATATTTATAATAAAAATTATATATTTAAAATAAAAAATAATAATTTTATTATTTAAAAAATATATTTAAAATATTAAAAAAATACAACACATAAATATTATTTATTTATTTTAATGTACATTATATTTCATACATTTATGTGTTATATTTTTTTAATATTTTAAATATTAAAAAAAAATTTAAAAATATTTTTTATTTGAAATATAATTTTTATTATAAATATTAGTTAACCAAACAAATATTTTTCATTTTTTTGACAAAAAAAAATTACATAATAAATATATAAAATATAAACTAAAAGTGACCTCACCAGCTGGGTTATGCATTGGGCTCCAAGTGATGGGCTTGGATTGTCCATAGGTGGTTCGTGACCTTTATAGGCTTATACACGTCAGTAACAAAAATTTGTTATATTTTGTTACGATCGTAATCAAATCGTAAAATATATTTTAATTTTGTTATGAAATTGTAACCAAACACATAACAAAAAAATTAAAATATTTAAAAATATATTTATAAAATAAAATAAAATATTTATAATAAAATTATGTATTTAAAATAAAAAAATACAACACATAAATATTTATTTATTTATTTTAATGTGCACTACATTTCATACATTTATGTGTTATATTTTTTTAATATTTTAAATATCAAAAAATTTAAAAAAAATTATTTTTTATTTTAAATATAATTTTTATTATAAATATTAGTTAACCAAACAAATGTTTTACTTTTTTTTGACAAAAAAAAATTACATAATAAATATATAAAGTATAGAATAAGTGGAAGGAGGAAAAAAAAATTGAATTGAATTTAAAAAAGGCAAGAGTTTGGAGATGTGGGGGATTAAACCTCATATCTCCCTTATGGATGGTAAGGAACGTATTATCATTTAGACTACCTCCCTACCTGTTTTACATTATGCGTACAAAACAATTTTATGTAAAAGTGTGTTTGTGAACCACGTTTTTTGAAAAAAAAAAAAATTTATTTTGTAAAAGCGTGGTTATGAATTACGTTTTTTGAAAAAAAAAATTTATTTATAAGCGTGGTTAGAAACAATGCTTTCTGTATAAATTAAATTTCTTTAAAAGCGTGTTTTGTAACCACGCTTTTACGATTTTACAAATTTTTCACTGTTGAGCTACAAAAACGGTAAAAGCATGATTTCTAACCACGTTTTAACCTAATTTAAAAATTCCGTCCAAACTAGGGTTACTTTAGAAAATAAGTTACTATTTTGCCTTAATTTGGAAAAAGGCCCCAGATTGTGGGCTGATCTGTGTTCCCAAGCCCTGAATTTTCTATTTCCTGGGTGGCCCAGTAGTCTCCAAAATATCCCTTAAAAACAAGGTTTGACTGTTGCAGTCCATAGCCTACCTCTTCCGCTTCTTCTTCAATCGAAGACACGCAACACAGAGCTGCCATCGCTCCCAATCCAACTGCTGTCATATAGGTACACGCTTTCCATCTCTATAATATCTATGCAAATATTCATACTCATCCAACTTCTCTGCTTTCAATCTGTTGTTTTTACCAATACATTAATCCCCTTTCATTAATTTATTGGGTTTTTCTTCGCTCAAATCATCAATGGCTATTCTCTGTTTGTTCCAAGTACTGCTCTTTCAAGTCGTATTATTGATTTTTTTTTTGTATGTATTATATACGTGTATTCATATAGATATAGACCACTCTCTCTATTTCGCTCAATTTTAAATTTAGTGTTTTTTTTTGTTCTTTATTTATATATTTGAACCCCAGTTGCGAAGCTGAATCTTGTTGTTGTGACATCATGAAGAAAGATTTTTTTTGGGTAAACTACTAATAGGTTGTACTTAATGTCTATCAAATCCTATTGAAAATAAGTCTTGGTAAAATTGTTATTAAAAATAATTTTTTTGTGACAATTTTTTATTTATGTCGCTAAAAATTAACAATTAGTGACTTTTTTTTGTCATGATTGTTATAAATTATCTTTAAAACTTACAATTAGTGACGTTTTTTCATTACAAATTTTTCTCATCGGATCTATTAGACAATAAGTCCACTTATTAGGACCTACATTTTTTACCAGGTCAATATAATGAGCTATTTAAAAGAGCATGTGCTAAATTGCTAATGCCTTGTTATTCCAATTTTATTTTTGATGCACTTTTTGCTAATGTATTCAAAACCTATTAAACCAGTATTAATGCCTTGTTATTCCAATTTTATTTTTGATGCACTTTTTGCTAATGTATTCAAAACCTATTAAACCAGTATTACACTGTGTTAAAATTTAAATTTTTTTTTCTTTATTTATACATTTATGATATGTTTGGATTTTGGATTTGTTGAGGGAACGAAAAAGAAAAGAAGCGTTAAGAAAATATAATGAAGTTAAAGAAGTTGCATTTATTCAATTGTCATGTTAGGAAAATCAGGGGAAAAAAGATTTTGTATTTGCATTTTTTTCTCTCTATTTTCTGGTTACCCATAAAATTGAACATTAACCAATGATGGGATTTTTTTTTTGATATATGGGAAATTTAAAATAGGGAATGAATGAATGAATGTCTACAATACCTAGGTTTAATTAGATACAATTTGAAAGTTTTGTTGGTTCATCGATCAGGTAGACTGTTTACCAAAAACATAGGTCTCCACAAAGTCACTGCCCAGTGCCGAAAGGTCAAGGAAGTTGGTAATCGTATGATAGGTAGTCAATGACCGAAGCCCTAGAGAATGACATCCGAGTCCATGATCAACTTCCTTTCGTAGTACACTACTCAAAGGGGAAAATTGAATCCCCACTGCCTTTTTTAAAAAGAGATGTCCCGAACCCTTAGAGCCTTAGACAGCTCGTGTGTGTACTTGCCTAACCACCTTCATTAAGTGGATTCATTATTTGAAGGGAAGTGGACTATTCAAAACATTCATTTTGGTCATAATTTAATGACGACACAAGTTGTAGTTGGCCATACCCCCAGGTGGTGATTCAACATAAATTCTACCTAATGAAGCTATGGCATCAAGTTGTGTTAGGTTTGGAACACCAAATATTGATGAGTGGACACATTAGGTCAAAAATGCTGAATATTGTACCTACCATGCCTCATAAACAACCAATCATGTTCTTCATGATTGCTCCATAGCCAAAGAAGTATGGGAAAGTCTTGATGATATTGCTCTCTTCTATAAATTCTTCAGTGTTGATCATCGGGTATGTATCGAACAAATTTATATCATGATCTTACCTCACATCACCATGGTATTCCTTGGCACATCATGTCTTCATGCACTTGCCATGCGACGCTGAATTTCGGGAATCAAGATTAAGATATAAACCTCAAGTGTAGGGATGAAAGGATACTACAGTCAAGGGTGGCCATGGCACCGGACTTTGAGATACTCCTTCCTGTATTGTGTAAATCAAGGACTCAAAACTGTTTTATAAGGAGTGGCCCCCTTTCCAAGAAGGGAAGTTGGCAACATGCTCTATTTTTTTTTTCCTTCGCTTTTTGCATTTATTTATTTGTATATCCAATAAGGAAATGGTATTATTTTATTGGTTAGTGCCATATTTATTTTATCGTATGATTATTACATTTTGTTTATCACATAATGTGATAAGATATTAATGAGATTCATGTGAAACCAATTGTATTAATGGTAGTGTGTGTATCAGATTAGATAGTAAAAAATATGATCATTTTAGGAATATTATATTTTATTTTCCTTTTTTTCGTTCTTTCATTTTGTGCAACTTCTTTCGTCATTATAAATATGATAGTTCCATTGTTTTTAGAAATGTTATGACTATTTTTTATTTTGGTATACCAATATAGCTTGTATTATTAGCTGTAATTTTCTTCATAAGACATGTTCTTGACCCCCTTGAAGATAAAATCCTAGCTTCGTTCTTACCCAAGTGTACAAAGGTTTAAGGAAAACACATTTCCAAAATAACTTTCATAGATTAAATATCTGCCTACATAATTTCCAAAGAAAACTAAATTCCAAATTGATATGTTCCAACCAAATCCAGCTAAAGGGTACAAAAAGAACTAATGAAAGTTTCATCGGATTACTAGGACAAACTACAAATATAATACAACATAAGATTTCTACATTGTAAGTGAGCCATGGTTCAACAACTTCATCCTCTACGGTTTCCATGTCCCAAGGCTTCAATGTTATCCTCACATGGCATAAAAACCCAATAGGAATATCAAACCTGACAAATATTCTAACCTATGAAGCACTAACACTTCAAAACAAGTGCCATATCCATGTCAAACACACGGATATATCAGGAACACGTAGATACTTCGGGAACAAGTATAGGACACCCCACATGGCGTGTCCCCTTAATTAATTTATTTTTAGGGGACACTTCATGGACACACTAGAGATATGCCAAGCTGTCTTTTGTCCCATTTTATTTAGTTCTTTTGATGAATGTTGAATGTTTATTATTATTATTTTTATATTTAAATACTTAATAGATTATTCATTAAAAAAAATATAGAAACTGTAAGTGTTAATTTAAAAGTGCTTTTAAAAAAAAATTAGAATTAAAGTTAGTTTTTGTTGATATTGATTATTTGTGGATGTAATACTAATCTAGATAGCAAAAAAAAATATATCAAACATATTTTATTGTCGTGTCCTCACTGTGTCTGTGTCCCTATTTTTTTGAAATCACCGTGTCCCTTGTTCGCATCCGTGTTTGTGTCCGCACCCCGTATTCGTATCCGTGCTTCTTAGATTCTAATCGTTTCCCCAAGCAATTATGAGTAAATAAGCGAACAACGATGGCAAGAATATTCAATGTATGCAAGCATAGATAAATATATAGAAGTAACAGAATAGCAGACAAAGAAATAAAACATGTACTGTATTAATATTCCTAAGGTTTTGTTAACTAGGTGCATCTAGGTAACTTCACCTGGAATACGTTTTCACCAAACCACTAAGCCATGGCCATTGGCTATTCAGACTTCATTTTGGTTACTAAGGATGCCCACACTCAGAGTTACATACCTAAGTAGTGGCATCAATGGTCTACCCCAAGGGAACAATTTGCAGGATACTCTTCCCTTGTGCCACTCACACATCCACCCTTGTGCCCAAGTTGATCTATTGATCAGAGCTAGAATATGCCTCGTGCCATCTTTGGATTTCGCAACACTTGCGCAGGAATTTAAAGTCAGTATTCATCCTAATGATTGGATTAACATCATATGCTCAACAATTCCAATTTCATATTTTCCGTGCAAAATGCCGAACCACATGGTACAACCCTACAACTTCAATGAAGTTCCAATCGCAACCATTAAATATGATAGGGCACAATAGTAGAATAATCATGAATCATTAAACATCGTATAAGCATGCAAGATAAGCAAAATAAGGTTCAACTTCAAGGGTTCAAGGAATAACACTTCAGCCATCATTTTCAGATAAAACTATATTTCCAACACTACGGTCCTAAAGAAAAATATGAAACACATGCTAAATGATGTCCAATGATCATGAAAATTTTGCTGGAAATAGTACATTAAGTTGGGAAAATTTTGACATAAATCGTGCATAAAAATCATTTTTGTAGAGTGAGAAAGTAATATGGGAAAACCTGCTGGCCCAGATTTGTCACATTTTTGTAAAATACTTGTTTCTCTTTCAATACTTTTGGTTTCGAGTGAAATCGGCGGCATTTGAAACATATCACATAAATCTAACTTTTCCAACTAATTTCACTCAAAAAGGATTTCTGTGGATAAAATGACATGATTTCAAAGTTGAGGTACCTCCCCCAAATTGCAGTGGAGAGAAAAATAGTTTTTGGTACTCAAATGATGTTGGATCCTTTTGCAATAACATACATACGTATAGGACACTTATATCTAACTCCAATAAAAACAATTTTGAACAAGCTCCATCAAATTTCTCAAAGCTTTAGGTTCCATGCAAATTTATACTGTTTTTGACAAAAACTTACATTATCAAGTTCGGTGCTTCTACATTCAAACTTTCTTTCTCATTTCATGTGTATATAACATCTTAGGAGTAATGTAAGAATAAGTAAGAAAAGGAATGGAAGGGATAAAGGTTGTTTAGTAAACCTACCTTTCAAGAGCTTTAAGTGTTGATTTTTAACTTAGCAAGAGAACCTCCAAGACACCTTCTTTTCTTCCTCACTATCTCTCAGATTTTCTTCTCCTCTCCCTTGCTTGTTTTCAAACGTGGGTCCAAGGGGGGGGGGAAGAGGTCTCTTTTATAGGCAACAAAATTATTTTTGCATTTAAATGTATTGTCTCTTTTTTGGTTCTTCATTTGTCCCATCCATCATCTCAAGTGCTCTATCCTAGGAAATGTTTGGAGTGCAAGCATGGCCAAGATCTTACAAAGGTGATGGGTGTGATGGTGGCTCACATGGCCGACACTTTCCTTCTTTTTTTAATATGTGTTTTGAGTCACATTGCTAATATAATAAATATTATATGTAACCAAGAGACTTGTAATTAAAACTAATAGGTTCTATAAATCAATTTTCTATACAAAAACAGTTGACACTGAATTTTACACAGATTAACCACTTCAAATAATTTAAGGAGAGTAGAAACAATTAATAATGATATTTTCGTTGTCAATCGTCATGATAACGATAATAATTAATAAGGATAAATTAGAAATACATCTCCTAAGGTTTGTTTAAAATATGGACTAACTCATGTGGTTTGGGAGATTACAAATACCTCCTTATTAGAATTTTTTATTTAACAGAATTAAGAGAAAAAAATAAAATTTCTAACTACTCTTCTATACAACAATAAAATTACCTAAATTGTTAATTGAAATATATTTATGACATCATTAAAAGTTGTTAATGACTTGATGATTTATTAATAAAAGGGGCCATTTGTTATGCAATTATAAACTTAAAGCGGTGGGATGTAATTTCTAACTGTGTTACATAGACTTTTCTATTTCCCCCAAAGTGCTCGTGCCCATTGGATATGACATGGTTAAGGGTGTGGGATATGTGTCCGACACTCGTACCTAATTTAGACAATCTAATCTTTTAATTTGTTACAATATGTGAAGAAGAAACTCACATTTACTAGTAAAGCAATGTAGAAAATTTAATGTATAAAGAGAAATAGAGAATTGTATTATTGATTGATTGATAATTGATATCTATTACAATGATTCATGATTCCTATATATAGAAGAGGGTGAGTGTGTAGTAGGTAAGGAGTAGGTGAAGTGGAGGTGGTAGTGGTGTAAGACAATCTAATCTTTTAATTTGTTGCAATATGTGAAGAAGAAACTCACATTTACTAGTAAAGCAATATTTTTAGCCTCTCATATGAATTAGATATAGAAATTTCGTATTTTTCTTGAATCCTATTTAGTTTTTAGTATATTTCTACATAATTTACACCACTTCTTCCGATAATATTATATAATATGTAACATATGTGTATATGACATGTTCCCATACCCATATCCAATTTTGGATACATATTCCAAGATCCTAAGAATTAAATTTATGAGGGTCTTACGCTTGCATTAGTAGGAATACAACTACTTTCCAACATTATGTTTCCTTCCCTATCTTCCACCGTGTACACAATACTGCATAGGGCTAGTGAATACTATGTTCTTTATCCTTCTGAAACCAGAGCCTTGTCTGATCCAACATATTGGTTGCATGAATTGCAACTAGTTCCATCATTCTTACAGTGACATTGACTCTTTGTCTCAAATTATTCATACAGAGATGGAGAAGGGCTACATAGGAAAATGTTACACTTTAACGCTCTTGAAATTTTAGGTTGAACTGTTGTCTTGCATTGGTCACAATGTAAATTTGAATGCCTGCAGAAATTAGTCTCTCTCTCTCTCTCTCTCTGTATATATATTTGGTTTTAATTTAAGCTTGATTTTTTTTTTTTGAATAATTTTACTTTCAGGAGCCTAAATTTGCTTCTTTACTTTTTCTTCCTACTACAATAAGTTGTTGACATTCTACTATTGGTTAGTTTGACAGGAGCTGAATGACTGAAAAATAGAAAATGAATCAGCTCGCAAATTCATTTTCTTTACTTGAGTTGGATGTTGCAGATGATAGAGAAGTGGCGACTTCTGCTATAGCTGCTGATCCTAAAGAAAGTGGTAATGGAAGAGGTTGAACCATAAGTCTGCCATATTGATTCCTTCTTTTTTTTTGTGTGTATGTGTGTGTGTGTGTGTGTGTGTGTGTGTGTTTAAATGTAATCATTTTTCTTCTATACTCAAACTCAGATCAACTCACTCATATTTGGAGTTCTTAATTTTGGGGTCCAATTTCAACTTCAAAACTCTTTGACCATGACCTTCAATGGACATTGTGGTTAGAATGGTGGCATATTTTTTCTGGTGCTGTGATGGAAAAATTAAGTCCATAGATTTTGACCCCTATACGAATGTTGAACTGCAATATATGGTTGGATTATGACTCCTCCAGATTTTTAATTTTACTGTTCTGATCCTAACTCCTTGCCTGCTAATGTTTTGTTGCTGTTTTAAGTGACTATTTGATGCCAATGGAACAATATTCATGATGCAGGTAAAGGTAAGAAAAAAGATGACAGTTCAGGGGACATGACCGTATCGAACAATGACAATGCGGGTCAAAAAAACCTGGAAATGGGTTCAGGAGAGTACAAGATGCCCCTCGTGTGGATTGATTTGGAAATGACTGGTAGGTATTGGTTTTTGAACATTAAATAGGACTGGATCCCTCGGCTTGAGCTTGACATAGAGCATTGACCAGCTTGTTTGAAATATTTCTTTGTACAATATGCACATGTCATTAGAATGAAGGGTAGGGTATTATATTATCCCATGAAATTGCACTGATATATTCAAGGTGTAAATCCCATGCCTATTCTACCAAGGTCTTTTTTTAGCCATGTTTAATAATGTTTGCTTCAAACTTGAGATGGTTAGGAAAGGTTTAAATAAATTTTACATAGTTACTCTCGCTAATACGAGCTGCTTCACATCTTCCATGCTATAAGAGCAACTCAGCATTTAATTCCTTAGTCTTATTATTGGTGGATAAGTTATTATTGATTGATACCAAGAACATAGAACAACTTTTTGTCCTAGGTTTCAGAGAAGCTTTTTGAGTCCTTCACTTGTATCTCATTGCTAACAAGCAACAATATTGTTTCCAATGATGTCAATCGAAGATATCTTTGATACTTTTTCCTAGGTTCGTTATTTCGTCTCCTTCCTGCTGTTTCTTCTTTTGTGTCGCTTTCCTATGTTGCTCACTTGACACTTACATATATATATGTACTCTCTGTCATTGATTTCCTAGTCAAAAGACTCCGAACCAATTACCCTTTGCCTTTCATCGCTTTCTTTACTCCACTTGAATCCTATTCTTCAAATTAGAAAGTTTAGTATCAATTCCTTTGCTTTGTTTGTAGTTTTTGTCTTTCATGTTCTCCCCTTCTTTGATAGCACTTGTTTGCATGGTGTATTAAGTTACCTACTTCCGTTTTAATGAAATTGTTTCAAAGAAGTTCCTTTTAAATTCTGACACCACATTGTTAATTTTTATTTTTTCTCCAAAGAGGGGAAATATGGAAAATCCTGGGCTATAGTAGTTGTAAATTTTGGTAGCTTTGCAAGAACATTATTGATTCTATAATTGACAAATCTTTGCACCACATTCTTACTTTTCATTTTTTTCTTATCTCATTTAATAATGAGAAATGCTAGAGACCAAGAATTTTAGTCCCACAATTCACCTACAGTGACATGGCAAGGGAGTCAGACCTTACATGATTGAGTTTGTGACAAATCAAAAACTCACATATAACCTGCTATGTCATTGTGAGTAAAATTGCGGGTCTCAATCTTTTTCCTCAATCAAATTTATATGCATTGCATTGCTTTGCTTTAGTCTTGAGTAGAAGTTTTGTAGTTCCAAGTTGAGCTTAGTTAGTTGCATTTGTAACTGCCACAAATTTGTCTTGTTTATAAATGTTGACCTAGCCTGCTGTTGTATGCATCCGTATTTGATGTTGAATGGCTGATAATGTTTGTGGATAATTCTTTTGCTTTTGTTGCCTATGCAGGTCTAGATGTGGAAGTAGATAGAATTCTGGAGATTGCTTGTATAATTACAGATGGGAATTTGACCAAATCAATTGAGGTAATTTTATTCCTTCTTTCAAGACAACGTGATGCCCCAGAATTGGTGGTTGGCTAGTTCAATTTTTTTTTATTTTTGTTCCCTGCTGTATTGTTTATGTCTTTATCTTGCCATTACCTAGTTTCAGATTTCTTGACTTACTGAAGGTATTGATTATAGTGAAGGTCAATAGGTCTAAAATAATGGTGCCCACTCCTGCAAGGTTTTTTGCATGTTCATAATGACTTGCAAGATTGGAGAAAAAGCAAAGTGGGGAAATTGTTGCCTAACAAATACATTTGTTAACGTTATGCCCTGCTCAGTATCTTACAATTTTGTAATTAAACAAATAGAAAATGTTAACATTTCAAGAAGAAATAAAGTGCATGCAGGTCCAGAACAAGTAATTTTTATATGCAGAAAAGTTTTGTATAAAACATATACCTCAGATGTGAGTTTTTTGTTGGTGATAACTAATTTGGCACAAACTTACAAAAAGATACAGGTGGAACTTATCCCACATATATTATTATAATTGGTAGTTATGCAGGTTGATGTGAACTGGTGTCCTTGGATTTCCTTTTTTTTTTTCTCCTCCTTCTTTTCCTTCTTTTAGTCTATTTTTGGTTTCTCATTTTCCTTTTCCTATTTTGATAAGTTATACATCTTGTGAAATTGAAACAATTCTCAATGTTGTGCAAACAGTAAAGACAGAAATACACCTTTGGTTTAGGGAACTAACAAAAGCTTTCATATGATATCCTGTTTACCTAAAAGAAATAAGGGGAGGAGGAGAAATGTGGCTATGTCATATTGAAGGTGAAATACACATCCTGATTTTTTTCTTTTTAATTAAAAAACCATTAAAATGTATTTTGTGGTCATCTATTGGTTATGGATAAATAATTATGAAGTGGAGCTTACAGGATAAGGAATTCCAAAATTTAGATTGAATTGATTTTAAGTTGCAATTACAAATTTAGGTTGTGCTTGGTAATCTAAGTCTAATGTATTAAGTGAAAAATAATTTAGTCCGTTTGTCAATGACAATTCATATTACTTAGAAATTTATGTGACTTTTAAAATGTAAGCTAAATGTTAAGAAAATTTAAAACACTGGAATTCTTATTTAATGCTGATTGAATTTGTTCTTGCTTATACATAAACATCGATGTGCACCTTTGTGACCTCACTATTGCCACCGTCACCACCACCTACTACGCCTTGGCCCTCACCACCACACCACCCCACCCCCACCCCCACCCCACCCCCACCCCTGCCACCGTTACCACCACAACTATTGCCACTGCCGCACACTCTCTGCCTCCTATTACCTCCACCACCATCTGCCATCATTTGACTACCATCACCTCTTCACTACCACTATCACAACCCTCCGCTTCCTCTGCCACCACCACAGCTGCCATAGCCACCACTATCATTCCACCACCACAACCACCACCATCGCCCCTCTATCACCACCACCACCTCACTACCACAATATAAAATTAGAAGAGAAAATTTGAAAACGATAAATTTCAAATTTCATTTTGCACATGTTGAACAATTTGTTTTAGTTCAAACTTAAAATTTTATCAAACAATTTTAGCTTAAAATATTCAACATTCAATTGACAGTATTTAATTTTTAGTTTTCAGTTTTATCAAGCACCACCTTATTGATAGTCTTAAGGAGATGACAGTATCAACGTGGTTCTGTTGTGCTCTAAGATATAGATGGTTCTGAGCACTTTTTGCTTCGCATTGTTGTAAGATAAAAATTTAGCCTGACCATGAGGCAAACTTCAGATGCCCTTCTTGAATGATGTCATGGTAAATATGAGCACACCCATTTTCAGTTTCTTCTTTTTTTATGGCAGTTTTGTTGTTTGTTTTATTTTAGTCTTATCCTTTTAGCAATTAACTCTCATGTCTTGGACGTTGATTTGTCCTCTCACTTACTTGTGCATGGAAAACCATTAAACACTGTCTTTTAAGTGATTCTCATCTCGGGAACTAAAATTTACTTTTCTTTAGGGACCTGATTTGGTTATCTCTCAAAGTAAGGAATGTATGGATAGAATGGGAGAATGGTGTCAAACTCATCATGCAGCTAGTGGTGAGCTGCTTTTCAAGTTTTGGCTTTAAGAGCTATTGCTGTCACCTTAATGATACATTCTATTTATGCTCTACTTCTACATGCCTTTTGTATTTCGTTCATAATTGGTGCATGTAACACTGTTCTTATTGCTTTTGTAAGACTTGAATAAGCTTTAATATTTTCAGTTTAATTTAGGATTGACCGAAAAGGTGCTCCAGAGTACAATTAGTGAACAGGAAGCTGAAAAGCAGGTAATTATTTACTGCCAACCTTTTCTTTTCACGTGTGTTCTCACAAGGCTCAAAGTTCATAATCTGTGTGAATGGACTATTTTCTTGCATATTGCCATTCTTGTTTTTTTTTATCAAAGAAAATATGTTGTCATTCTTAATGCAACAACATGCCAACAGTTGTTAATTTATGTTGGAATGTGTCCCACATCGCTTGGAGTTGCCCCATCTGTGCTAGTTATAAGACTTTAGTTTCCCTCTCCTTAATACCTAGGTTTTAAGGAGAAATGTGTGCTGGGCTTTTCAACTTGGTATCAAAGCTTTGTTGGGCCTGTGACTGGTGGGCTATTTGTCCAGCAAGTGTGTGTTGTGATCCAGGAGGGTGTGTGGGACACATCGCTTGGAGTTGCTCCATTTGTGCTAGTTATAAGGCTCTAGTTTCCCTCTCCTTAATACCTGGGTTTTAAAGAGAATTGTGGGCCGGGCTTTTCAACTATTTAAGTTTTAGGAGCAAATTGGGGGCCTAGGAGGTTTATCTTTTGTGTGGACTCAGGCTCCTTTCCTTTGATGCATGTAAATTCTTTTACAGTCTGTTTGATGGGGGTGATTTAGTGAGAAATGATAAGAAATGAAGAGAAAGAGAACTCTTTCTCAGGTTTGGTTTATAAATTTGGTGAGAAATGGTGAGGAAAAAAACTCTCTTATTTTGTGTATTTCATTTCTCATCAAAAGTGATGAGATTTGGTGAGAAACAAATTGATTGGTTATAAAAAAATTTATAATACCAAGATTGTCCATAAAAATACAAAGGAAATTTAGGGAAAAAAGAAAAGAAAAGCTCACTAATATCCTTCTCTCTCATGCTTTGTTTTCTTACTCATCCAAACATGATAGTGAGAAAACAGTCATTTCTTTTCTCACCCATATGAGAAACCACAATCGATTATTTTCTTCCCTCACCTAATGGACTGTTAGAATATAATTGAAAGATCTAGCGAAGTCCGACTTTGTAATAAATTGTGCAAGTTGTATTGTTGTATTTATTCTTCCTTTGATATTGTTTTAAATACTGTGCAATCCAAGTCCAAAATTGTTTACTTCCCTATTTTGGTGTCTATAATTCATATATTCAATCTTTGGGGAAATATGAGAATATCTGGATTTACTATTCATCGTATCTTCCAAACACACATTAATGTGTACTAATTGGGTGTTATTTTTTTACTATTCAGTCGTATCTATATGAGATCTGGGAATTTTACATCTGTAATTCACTGTCTGTAATTCTTTCAATCAAGTTTTAGCTGCTAAGAAACACATCCTCGACAAAGTCAAAGTGAAAACCTTTAAAGGATGCCAGAATCAAATTATGGGCTACATTGATAGAGGATAAACTTATGGCATTGATGATGATTATTCTCTCTTACTGCCTTGGTATATAGGTTGCAAATTGCAATTTTGATTTTGGGACAACTAGCGGAGTGATATCCATTTTTGGTGTGCTTAATCCTCTTATTATGAATTATGGAAGCATTACCTAATTTCTCATTTTCGACTTCTCTTGTGGCAATAACATCTATACTGGCATGTCACAGCTGAGCTGAATGACAATCTTGAAAAAGTAGGATATTGTTAGCAAAAATCTGGTTTGGGTCGAATCGACAGAGTTGAATTGACAGACAAAACTGAAATTTCACAAACACACAAGATCAAACAATTGTGGTTGAGTGTCTTTGCCTTAACAGTTTCAAGGACTTCTTTGGAGGTGACAAATGGAAAGAAACAAACACAAACTGAATTGAAATAATTGAAATGTTACTGATTACGTGAACCAGAAACAAAAACAATGAAGTGTTTACAAATTAAGAACTAAAATTATAGAGAAACTGCTCCTAAAGTGATTGTGGGGTGTTTGGGAAGTTGGATTTGGGCTGAAATAGCCAATAAAGACAAAATAGACTAAAATAGCCAATAAGACAAAATTTCACTTCCAAACTATAATTATTTCATTTTTTCTTTCACAACTATCAAATCAACCACAAAAAAAAGCTAACTATCACCCCAAACACAACTTTTGAAGCCAGGTTAAAATAGCCAAGAAGTCAAAAAGCCAACTAAAATAGCCTATTCCCAAATGGGGTCCTAGGGAAAATCTACTCCTACTGATCTATTCTAACTCATGTGTTGAGTGTTGATAATGATTGATTCCTTTGTTTGATCTCCCTTAGCGTATAAATAGGCCTAGTCCCATAGTTAGAAAACTGCTCTAGGCAGTTTTCCTTCACTTGTGCATCTTGCCACACAAGAAAAATGAAACTGTTTGAAGTAATTGATGCCAAAATGTGGTGCCACATTCACTTGATTTAAGCAACTAATTTGCAAGAGGCAGCCATGTGTCCCGTAAATTCCTTGTCTTGTGCAACTTCCATTAACCACCAGGTAACTTCCATGCCCTGCAATAAGTATAACAATAATAATACTAATAAATAATGTGGTCATAGTTATTCTTTGCAGATGGTTTATGATCTGAATTGATAGGCCACGACCAATTAAATTGCCTATTGGCCACAACTAATTAGATTAGATTTGGCCTATTGATAGGCCCCAATTATCTGGAAAATAATATATGGTGTAAACAGATATGTACATGGATAAAGAAATGACGAGATATAAATTTACATTTTGGTATTATCAATCATTTGAATTGTTTATAGATTTCTAATAGTAACTCATTGGAGATGCCTTTTTTAAGAAATTAATCTAAATATGAAAATACTAACCTTCAGATAACTTGAAAGATGGTGCTTGATAATATAAATATATTCTTTTCTTATGCTTACCTTTCCTATAACTATATATTCTTTCTTATAAATGTGTGGACTGTGTGCTTGACATATGTGTTAGACATGTTTGATACTTTTTTATTAGAGTCTATGCTATGACATTAAACTTTAAGTGAGCAAGGACAGCAGGGACGAGGTTAGGGGGTGGCCAGTGGTGGCCATGGCCCCCTTAAACTTTTTGAAATTTTCGATTAACCTCATATGTTATGAATGATTTTGTATTATATATAGAAAGACGTCTAATTTTTAAAAAAATTCTTCTATTAGTTTCTTATATTGCATAAGTATTCTTATAAACCAAACCAAACCAAACCAAACCTTAAGTCTCATCAAACGGGATCGACTACATGAATCCTTCTTCTCCACTCCACTCGACTCTATTTATTATATTAGTCCTCGTCAATCTATGTCTGCTCTTTCCCCTAACACTTTCATCTACCGTCACTATATCGCATCTCTTCACTACTGCCTCTGTTGGTCTCTGTTATATATGACCAAACCATCTCAATCTATTCTTTCAATTTATCTTCTATCAGTATTACTCTTACCCATTCACGAATATACTCATTTCTAACTCTGTCTTTTCTAGTCTTACCACATATCCACCTTAGCATTCTCATCTCAGCAACACTCATCTTATCTATATGTTGTTTCTTAGTTGCTCAACATTCCGTCCCATACAACATTGTTGGTTTAATAGCCATTCTATAGAGCTTTTCTTTTAGTCTAGTGAGTATTCGTTTATCGCACAATATCTCAAACACACTCCTCCACTTAAGCCACCCAGTCTTAATTCTATGAATCACATCCGCTCCAATCTCCTCAGCCGTTGTGATAATTGATCCTAAGGCCTCATTTGGGAACAGGCTAATTTAGTAACCTTTTGGCTATTTGGCTAAAATATGAGTTAAAAAAAACTAGTATGTTTGGGATGACTTTTTGGCTTTTTACGAAAAGATGTGCAAAAAGTAGAGAGAAAAGAGAATCTTTGACTTTTTGGTATGGGTTGTTGGCTTTTTGGCTTTTTTAACAACTTTTTGGCTTTTTGGCTAAACAGGAGGGTTCCCAAACAAGACCTAAATAACGAAAATGTTCACTCTTAAGTAGTTCTTGGTTCTAGCCTTCACTTCTCCTCTACTTCCATGTTATTGTTACTAAAATTACTCCATATACTCTGTCTTAGTTTTGTCTATCCTAGATCTTTTATATTCAAGTGCTTCTATCCAAGTTTGTCTTGTGCAACTTCCATTAACCACCAGGTAACTTCCATGCCCTGCAATAAGTATAACAATAATAATACTAATAAATAATGTGGTCATAGTTATTCTTTGCAGATGGTTTATGATCTGAATTGATAGGCCACGACCAATTAAATTGCCTATTGGCCACAACTAATTAGATTAGATTTGGCCTATTGATAGGCCCCAATTATCTGGAAAATAATATATGGTGTAAACAGATATGTACATGGATAAAGAAATGACGAGATATAAATTTACATTTTGGTATTATCAATCATTTGAATTGTTTATAGATTTCTAATAGTAACTCATTGGAGATGCCTTTTTTAAGAAATTAATCTAAATATGAAAATACTAACCTTCAGATAACTTGAAAGATGGTGCTTGATAATATAAATATATTCTTTTCTTATGCTTACCTTTCCTATAACTATATATTCTTTCTTATAAATGTGTGGACTGTGTGCTTGACATATGTGTTAGACATGTTTGATACTTTTTTATTAGAGTCTATGCTATGACATTAAACTTTAAGTGTGCAAGGACAGCAGGGACGAGGTTAGGGGGTGGCCAGTGGTGGCCCTGGCCCCCTTAAACTTTTTGAAATTTTCGATTAACCCCATATGTTATGAATGCTTTTGTATTATATATAGAAAGACGTCTAATTTTTTAAAAAATTCTTCTATTAGTTTCTTATATTGCATAAGTATTCTTATAAACCAAACCAAACCAAACCAAGCCAAGCCTTAAGTCTCATCAAACGAGATCGACTACATAAATCCTTCTTCTCCACTCGATTCTATTTACTATATTAGTCCACGTCAATCTATGTCTGCTCTTTCCCCTAACACTTTCATCTACCGTCACTATACCTCATCTACCGTCACTATATCTCAGTTGGTCTCTGTTATATATGACCAAATCATCTCAATCTATTCTCTCAATTTATCTTCTATCAGTACTACTCTTACCCATTCACGAATATACTCATCTCTAACTCTGTCTTTTCTAGTCTTACCACATATCCACCCTAGCATTCTCATCTCAGCAACACTCATCTTATCTATATGTTCTTTCTTAGTTGCTCAACATTCCGTCCATACAACATTGTTGGTTTAATAGCCATTCTATAGAGCTTTTCTTTTAGTCTAGTGAGTATTCGTTTATCGCACAGTATTTCAAACACACTCCTCCACTTAAGCCACCCAGCCTTAATTTTATGAATCACATCCGCTCCAATCTCCTCAGCCGTTGTGATAATTGATCCTAAGGCCTCGTTTGGGAACAAGCTAATTTAGTAACTTTTTGGCTATTTGGCTAAAATATGAGTTAAAAAAAACTAGTATGTTTGGGATGACTTTTTGACTTTTTATGAAAAGATGTGCAAAAAGTAGAGAGAAAAGAGAATCTTTGACTTTTTGGTATGGGTTGTTGACTTTTTGGTTTTTTTAACAACTTTTTGGCTTTTTGGCTTTTTGGCTAAACAGGAGGGTTCCCAAACGAGGCCTAAATAACGAAAATGTTCACTCTTAAGTAGTTCTTGGTTCTAACCTTCACTTCTCCTCTACTTCCATGTTATTGTTACTAAAATTACTCCATATACTCTGTCTTAGTTTTGTCTATCCTAGATCTTTTATATTCAAGTGCTTCTATCCAAGTCACCAACTTAGTGTTTACTCATTCTCTAGTGTTATTACTAACACGATATCATCTGCAAAAAGCATATATCATGGCCATAAGTATTCTTATAATGCATATAAAATAATCTCAAATTATTTAATATAATAGTTATAATCCTATTGACTAATATGAATTTATTAATTTTTTTCATTATTAGTTTTTTTCTTAAAGAGTATGTTAATTTCTTTTTTTTTTTTGCCACACTTATTTTGGCCCCTCTTAAAAACAAATTTCTGGCTTCGTCCACATTGATAATCCGTATGTTGATATGTCTGATGATATATAGTGCTTGATATTGTGCTTATGTCTTGTATTTGAAATTTTGAAGACTGTTCAAGTTATTTGACAGTTGTTGCTGTCTGGCTGATCACTGAACTTTCCGGCTGCATTTTTTTTACATAGTACCAGAACCTTTTTTTTGTTTATTTATTTGATTTATTTTCTTGGTTTCCATTTTTTTTCAGTTGAATTTAACATTCTCTGACGTTTTATTTTATTTTATTGTAGGTTATTGAATTTGTAAGGAGATATGTAGGCACGTATACCCCTCTCATCGCAGGAAATTCAGTTTATATGGATTTTCTATTTTTGAAGGTAGGAGAAATTATGTTCTGATGTATACAAGTGCTGGAAACATTTCTGTTTTGGCTTCCATTAAATGAGAATGAAGGTTTTATTTTCTGTCTAATTAGTATCCCTTCCAACAATGGTTTGTCGAAGTGCAACATACATAAAAGAATTAAAAATGTTGCACGGATGGACACATTTTTCTCATTAGCATAACTGCCTTGAAGCACCTGTTCCAGCAAATCTCTCATGTACAATTATTAGGAGGATATATCCAACCTTGAGTTATTGTTATTGTTGTTGGTCTTTTTTTATAAAATAAATTTTGAAAAAAAAAATTTGATGCCTAAAGATGTTTGCTTTATTCTCAAATTTCTTTTTTGCAGAAGTATATGCCAGATTTGGCGAGTCTGTTCTCTCATGTAATCGTTGATGTTAGCAGTGTCAGGTCCCTATGCCTTCGTTGGTACCCAAAAGGTACAATTTTACTCTTCTTATCCAGTTGAAATGCCCAGCATACTAAATCATGTTAAGGCTGAATTTGGATCAGGGATTTGTGAAGGGAAAGAAGAGAAAAGTAAGGGGAAAGTTATCAAAATAGATTCTAGGGTAAATTACACTTTTAATCTTTGTAGTTTGACTAAAATTTCACTTCGATCCCTATTGTTTTAACTTGAACAATTTGGTCCCTGCACTTTCTAGTTTCCATTTGGTCATTCTGTTGAAGTTGAAGTTTAAATTTAATAATTTTGAGACACTTGTCAATCTCCTGAGATGTACACGTAGAAAAAATTAATTAAAATTTGGACGGAAGGGACTAAATTGAATCTGGATTGTATAGAGACTAAATTGTTCAAATTGAAGCAATAGGGACCAAAGTGAAATTTAGGTCAAACTATTTTTTGTTTCACCTTTCCCTCCACAAATCCTTCCTTCAAATCTTTGATCCACACAACCAACATATTTTATTGAAATGATCTTGTTTGTTTTGTTCCTGTATTTGTACTCTATGTATGTCATGAAGGCATCCCTAAAACATCACAAAGGTCTTCATCTTAATGAGCAATTACCTCTGTGCGTGTGCAAGCACAATCGTGTCATTTTCGTGTAATCATAATCAGATAATTCTGATGCAACTGAGTTTATTGTACTTTCTGACAATTGGAATGTGTTTTTTTGTGTTCAATGTCATCACTTATATATGCTAGAAACCAGGAAGGCTCCTTTGAAGGAAAACACGCATAGAGCAATGGATGACATCAAGGAAAGCATAGCAGAACTTAAATACTACAGGGGAAGTATATTCAAATCACCTAAGTCTAAGAAGTGACAACAAACGAAGAGATTGCAGATTTCAGATTGAAGTGATCTCTTTTGTTGTAAAATGGTTTTATAGTCTTATTTTGTGGTTTAGCATAGTTATGGGTGAAAGAAAACATCAGAACCGAAAAGGAATGAGTGAGACTGAGTTGATGTTTTGATTTATCTCTGATTAACAACATTGTTTTGATTGTTGCTATTGATTCATCTGCATGCCAAAGTCCAGGATCCAAGTCCAAGATCCAGGGATGCTACTGAAGGGATAATTACTGGGGTGTTCATTGATCGGATTGGTCTAGTTTATGAGTGATGACGTTGGATACAAAATTATGTATGATGCGTTCGTAAAGAATGAAAAAATTAAAATTTTATTGTCAATTTCTTACACAGTAGCCCCGTCTAGTTAGAATTCTGCGTTCTTCACTGGACCCACCTCTCACGTACGAGAGGTCGGAAGTTTCAGTTTGACTCTCGCGAAAGGCTTGGTAAACCGCGCTTGATATTGGTATCTTCTATTTGTATAACTAGTCACTAATTAAATTAGGGATTGAGGGTGGTGATGTGCTTTATAGGCATAGCACATAGCACCGTGTTGTGAGCCTGTGAAGGCACATTCTAAATTTATTTTAATGATTCGAAATGTTTATAATGTAGGGTTTATTGAGTATATCATCTATGAAAAAATTCAAGTTAATTAAACATTTGTAACTTACAACAAGATAACATTTATGTTTAAAAAAATAAACAGTTAGTATGATTTTAATAATTTTTTAGGGTTATTATTTGTCTTGATTATGTAATTATATTTGTTCGATTAATTCTATTTTTTATAAGGATAATATACTTAACAAATCTTATAATATGAACCGTTCAGATTATTAGAATATAGTTGGAATAAACCATACGGAGTGTGACAGAATGAGTGTGACACACCCACTCCCAATCCGGACATCAGTAGTCATATATTTAGATCACATTTTTTTTTAAAAAAAATTGAATAGTCTATATCAAAATTATACTTACTATCTATTTTTTTTTTTTTTAAATGTATTTTGAGCTTGAATCTTAAACTCCAATATAATCATATATTTTTTATGTTATGTGATAGTTATTATGGCATTTCTGTCTAGGTTTGAACATAAATTAGCTTTAGGAGTAAACTGGAAAAAATTTGAAACATAAAGGACTAAAGTGGGAAAAAATATACTTTAAGGGCCAAAGTGGGAAAGTGATCAAACATAAAGGGGATGGGTGTAATTTACCCCAAATTGTACCATCTAGTCCAATTAAAAGACTTGAGTGGAGCCCAACTCCTTTTAATACTATATATATATATATATAGATTAGATGTGATATTTTAGATATAAAAAAATTAATTTAAAGAATTTTAATTCATACTTTTAAAAACATTTTTTAATATATATATACTTGCCTATCTTTGTGATTCACAACTAAATGAAAACAAACATTTCTAAATTGTATGAAAAATTTACCAAAATTTTACTTAGAAAATGAAGTGTAAGGTATAGATTTAAATTAGTGTTGTGTCACATACAAAATAATTTTTGTCAACATATTTTAATTATAGGTAAAAAAAAATTTGATATGTAATATAACTTTAGTTTAGTTTTTGAATTTGTTTTCAAAATTTATATATGTTTACAAAAAATTTGAAAATATCAAACAAAATCTTGATTGGTATTTTTTTTTTTTTCAAAAAATAATCTGTTTATCTGTAAATTTTTTTGAAAACATTAGACAAACTTATTTAGTATCTACTAGTGGTCACCCGTCCGATGCACGGGATTTTAGAAAGTCAATAATCACTAAAAAAATTTTGTTATTTGATTGTATTTCTTAATATTTTTATTTAGTTTGTATATATAAATCTTATATCACATCATTAAAATTATTAAATATTTCACATTATTACAAATTTTAAAATACTATCATCCATTAAGTAAATCATAACATATATAATAGCTAATTTATCTAAGAATTATTTCAGACAATCAAAAATAGAGTAACAAAGGCATATTATAATTAATCACAATAACTAATATATTAAATAAAAGTAACACTAATTTTGTTTAATCAATAGTAGATATAATATAATAAAATAAAATAAAATTAATTTTAATTCCCATTATATTCAGTTAGTGGTTAAAATTTTTTTGCATGATATTTGTTTTTTAGGTTATATTGATTCATTAAACACAAATGGTTTGGAATGATTAAAAAAAAAAAAAAAGTTTGGAAATGCGTTAAACTTGAATTGACAAACATAAAGAATATGAAATAATTAAATTATTCAAAAATTAACATTTTAAATATGAGATATTTTCCATTTGCTCAAACTCCGAATCTAAATAAAAATAACAATAAAAATAAATAAAATAAAAAAGAAAAAATTTGTGGTTTTATTCTCAAAGGAAATGAGTTCCTAAAAATAAATTTAATCAATAAGTTATTTTAATAGGATAATCAATAAATAAAAATCAACTGATGAATACATTTAAAGTTAAAACCCATATCCAATAAATTTTGAAGTCTTCTTCATTTTCAATCTAACATCTGCACCAAAAAAAATTAAACACAAATAATCAATAAGTAAGAGAGTACAAATTGATACAGAGCTCTTTTATAAAATATATTAAAAAAAATCTCAATTAAATGATACATTATTAACAAAAAGAAAGAAATAAAGGAAAATACACGATTGTAAGAAAATTCAAAAAAATAAAATAATAATGTTCATTTATATGAACTCACTTTCTTACAAATGCAAAAACTCATGCAAGTACACAATTCAAATGTAAAGCAAATATTTAAGATTTTTAGGCACCGAAAGGGATCAGAAATGGCTCAATGTTGGTTGTTTTCCTCCCAATCTTCTGTTCATGGTTTCTTTTGCAGGAATTTATTTTTATATTGAAAAGATTATGCTTAAACAATATATATATATATATATATATATATGGAATTCTATCATATTTAAAATTTGTATGGATAATTAATTGATGGTTTTAAAAGATAAATATTAAGTTCAACTGGAAGATGAACTTTAAAAAGATTAAGTTGAAATATATAAAAATTTTATAACAATCTAACAAAAGATAAATATAGATCGTTAAAAAAATTATCTTCTTTTTTTGGATATTTATATCCCAATCTTAATATTTTTTATTTGAATTTTCATTTTGCAATTCAAATCTAAATAGTTATATTTTTATTTTTGTATATTTCTTCATCTCTATTTTTTTTTTTATTTGACTCTTTATATTATTGTGTGGTTGAAATTTGAATAGTTATCTTTTAATTTATTTTATTTTTTATATTTTTATCTCTACTTCTTTGTTGTTCATATCTAAATATTTATCATTTTATTTAAATATATATAATCCTTTTGGCTTTTGCAATTTAGATAATTGACAAATGATTAAAAATTAGGAAAAGTGGGAGGGGAGACTTGAGAAGTGACACATAGGAGAGAGAATCCATAAGAATTTAGTATTAAGATTTTGAAAAATTCTCATACTCCACTACATTTAGTATAGATTCAAAATAAAAAAAAAATAATATGTGACAGAAGGAGAAAAAAATACAAGTAAATCAAAACAAAGATTTAGATAGATATGTTTTTCATAGATAAAGATTAACAAATCATATCTTTATTTAAATTTTATTATTTAAATTTTTTGTAAATCAATTATTTAATCTTTATCTTTATCTATAGGCCACGAAATTAATTTTTATGAATTATTTATCAATTTTTATATGTTTATTTATCTATAAGTCAAGAAATTAATTTTTTTAAATAATTGTTTTAATTTTTTTCTTTATCTCTAGGTCATGAAATAATTTTTCATAAATTATTTATGAAATTTTATATGTTTATCTTTCATTTTTTTAAATCATTTTTTTAACCTTTATCTGTAGGTCATGAAATTAATTTTTAGAAGTTATTTATCAATTTTTATAAGTTCATTTACCGGAAGAAATTTTAAATTATCTATAAGTTGTGAAATTAATTTTTTTAAATTAGGTATTTAATTTTTATCTTTATCTATAGAACATGAAATTAATTTTCATAAATTAATTATCAGTTTTTATATGTTTATCTATATGGAGAAATTTTGAAATTCAAATCTTTATCCATAAACCATGAAATTCATTTTTATTTTAATTAATCAAACAAATAGAAAATAGAGGAAAATAGAAAATATGAAAGACAATTAAAAAGGGTTGCCATGTAGGAAAGAGAGAGTTTTAAAATTATGAGAATTTAATAATGAATATTTGGAGACTTTTTCCAATACAACTATTACAAAATGAAGGGCAAAAAAAAAAAGAAGAGTAATTTCATTTTTTTAAACCAATTTTTTAACCTTTATCTATAGGTCATGAAATTAATTTTTATAAGTTATTTATCATTTTTTATAAGTTCATTTTTGGGAAGAAATTTTAAATTATCTATAAGTTGTGAAATTAATTTTTTTAAATTAGTTATTTAATTTTTATCTTTATCTATAGACCATGAAATTAATTTTTATAAATTATTTATTAATTTTTATATGTTTATCTATATGGAGGAACTTTGAAATTCAAATCTTTATCCATAAACCATGAAATTAATTTTCATTTTAATTAATCAAACAAATAGAAAATTGAGGAAAATAGAAAACATGAAAGACAATTAAAGAGGGTTGCCACGTAGGAAATAGAGAGTTTTAAAATTATGAGAATTTAATAATGAATATTTAAAGACTTTTGCCAATACAACTACATTTGATTGAAATTTTAATTATCTATAGGTTGTGAAATTAATTTTTTTAAATTAGTTATTTAATTTTTATCTTTATCTGTAGACCATGAAATTAATTTTCATAAATTATTTATCAATTTTTATATGTTTATCTATATGGAGGAATTTTGAAATTCAAATCTTTATCCATAAATCATAAAATTAATTTTCATTTTAATTAATCAAACAAATAGAAAATGGAGGAAAATAGAAAACATGAAAGACAATCAAAGAGGGTTGCCATGTAGAAAAGAGAGAGTTTTAAAATTATGAGAATTTAATAATGAATATTTGGAGATTTTTTTCAATACAACTACTACAAAATGAAGGGCAAAGAAAAGGAGTAATTTCATTTTTTTTAAATCAATTTTTTAACCTTTATCTGTAAGTCATAAAATTATTTTTTATAAGTTATTTATCAATTTTTATAAATTCATTTTTGGGAAGAAATTTTAAATTATCTATAAGTGGTGAAATTAATTTTTTTAAATTAGTTATTTAATTTTTATCTTTATCTGTAGACCATGAAATTAATTTTCATAAATTATTTATTAATTTTCATATGTTTATCTAT